TAGCAGATAAAATTTAAATGCATTAATTTAAACATGAAAAGATCCGTGGGAAAGAACAGAGCAAACATATCTTCATATATAAAATCACAGTCTTTGAACCAACCATAACCACCTATAGTGCAATCCTGGAGTTAATGACAGAGTTTAATGACCACTGATCAAGAAAACAAATAAAGTATTGGGAATTACTGGGAAATAAATTTATGCAGGCATGTAAATTTATGATATGACAACATCTTGAATGTTGTTCTAGTTTCCTCCTCTCAAAAAAAGAGGCAGGAATCAGGATTGGAAAATGCGATGAGAAAAGCAACATGGATACACCATGGCATGGAACAATTTCTCCATCAGAAAGAGCTAAGTAAGCAAGGACTCTACAGCATGGAAAAGAGGTAACTTGAAGAGGGTAGGATAAACATCTAGAAAATCAAGGGAGGTGTGAAATGAACAATGAGCTTCACCACATTTGTAATACAAGAACCAGAAGGCATCAAATAAAGACAGTAAAGACCAAATGCAAAACAGGCAAAAGGAATTGTTCGCTATGCAACTCTTTGTCAACTTTAATATGTTTAAAGTTTATATGGGGTAGAAGAGAGACTGTAGAATTTCATAGAAAAGAAGTCAGCTGAGGTTTATTTCATACACAGCTGGCTAAGGCTGTTTTCAAACTGTAAAGAGCTGGAGGTTTGGTAAGTACACACAGGAAAGATCACACATACCTGCTCCATTTTACTGTTCTCTAGATATCTGAATTTCACCATTGCCAAGTGTCAAGATCAGACTGGATGATGTGATGTTGATGTGATCCAATGTAACCACTATTTTGCTGAATAGGCAATTACTGCATCCAGTGATGTCAGATTCTTAAACAAATGCTTCCCAATTTCAAAATTAGGATATATTAAAGCTAAGGGGACCTTTCTATACAATAGGCATAAGATTGCTTCTATACAAATTTCAGTATCACACCCTCTGTTTGTGCTCTTAGGACTGAAAACAGAATCGTAACTGATAAAATGTTACACAGAAGCTGGTAGGGCTCCAAAATGCCACCTAAGCTCAGTTGGTGTCTGACTTACTGACAGAAGTTGCTGTCCTATTTAGGCAATGTCCCTGTTCCAAAAGCATGGCCTGCTTGTGACTTGTGACATTAACCACAGCCCAAAGAAGTCACTCTTTATGCGGTTTATCTGAAAAGCTTAGAGAGGAAAATGATGTGGGAAAATGGAAAAGTGGAAAAGAACCCTGTTATTCCAGATTTCTTGAGATGGGCAAAAGTCTACAGCGCTGACTAGAAACAGAATCACACAAAGCTTATCCTGCAAGACAGAGGCTCTATGTAAACAATTCTGACAGTCTTGACAGCATGTGGCAACCACCAAGGTTTTTTTTTGTTACTCCACATAAGTAAGGTCCAAAGCCAACCATGAACACATACTTTAGATGTTTGTAAAAGCCCAGTTGACTTCCCCACTCCTACGGTGAAGATTCAGCTTTTCCAGTCTTCTGTATTCCCTACCTAAGACTACAACACATGGTACTATTAAGTCTTGCCAACTCAATTTCCCCAAAAGTCTTTCATGGAGAATCATTAAATCATTACTCTTCCACCCTTCCTTCGCACTCTTTCACTCAAGAGAGAAAATGAGCTGAGGAAAAAAAAGGGAAAAGAGCTGTAACTGCAGTGTGGAGCAAAGAACAGAGACTATTTGGGTTGCAAATGTGGAATTCAGTGTCTGGTGTGGGTGCAAGTCATTACTCCTATTTCCAGTGCTCCCATTTTTACTTTCAGAGTACTTAATACTTACCTTTAAAGTCTCAGTTTTGATAGCCCTTGAGAAAGTCTGAATGCTGCTTTTCCTCTATTTTTCCCCTGTATGTTTCTAGCTGCTATGACTGCCAGTAAAAAACCTGATCCCACAAAATTTGCAACCTGAAAACTCGGAAAAAACCACACACAGACACACACACCCCCTTCCTTTCTTCACATATCAGTTTTTAGTCCTGAAGATTTTTATTAATGCTTTAATAATGATGATTTTTCCTTCTCTTTGATTCTTCCCATAGCAGACAATTGTACTCACTGTACTGCTGTTGCTTCATTTCTTTTCAACATATACCAACTCCTACTGTAACTCACTAGCTGTTGGCACTTTAAAAAAAAGGTTAGCAGTGCCAACTACACCTCAGGAAAAACATCTGCACTCCTCACAGCTCAAGTGTTTATTATATACTACAGAAAATCGGTGCATTACATTATGACCTTCCTTTCGTTCCTGCACTAAGCTGACAACTGACAATTGCACACTTTTTTCAAAAATAAGTAATAAATAAAGAAAGTAAGAAATAATTATTCTGAAGACATAGCATATATAATCAACACAATGTAATAGGTAAGTTTTTCTTTAATACACAAGCTACTTTACTCATTTGTATTTTCATAAAACAACTGAGAATCTGACACAAAATGTAATGCTAATCTTGTGAAGAAAGATGTATTTTTGGACCACTTAATAGAAAAATGAGAAGCTAAATTCTGAATACTAAATAATAACAAATAATTTGAGGTAGATATGAGCCTACAATTCATTATGACACAAAGCTATTATCTCAGGAACCTAGAAAAGCTACCCTTAAAATGACAGATTGAATTTAGGAGAAAGATGTTATTTAATTAAAGATCCCTATTCTTGATTCCATAATTTGTTGAGTTTTTAATACAATAGTCACATGGAAGAATAACTACAAATCTAGGAAAATATAATTGACATTTTTCATGTTATTTACATAGTATTTTACTGAAGTTGCTTTGAAGACTAAACTATGCAAGAGCAGCCTGAACCTAGAAATACTCGACAGATATGCTACAGAAGTGTTAATCAGCAGATATTTAGAAGAAGAAACACAACTTGATCTTCGTTCCTCTTCCATGTGCATTATCACAGAAAACACGGATGCTGGTAAACAGGAAAGGAACAAATTATTTTTGTATTTGGCAGAAGAAAGAATATTGTTCAGCATAGCCCATCTAGTTACCTTCATTAACTCCCTTCAATGATAGCAGCACAAAAGACCTCCTTCCAACAAATCTCCAAGAATTACTAACCCTGGCATAAATTGTATAGGATAACTAAATGATCTCAACCTAGTTTAGATACTGGACCAGCCAAGAAAGTCTTACTTTTAAGGCTGATCTTAATGTAATTTAACATTCTATGTTTAGAAACTTTTTTCCATCTTTGAACATCTATGCTTCAGATAAAAATTATCTTCTTAAAACTTACCTGGCAATAGAGCTGAGTCATTTGCCCCACATAGGGCACTCCACTCTTACCAATGCATCAATATGTAAGACTAGGATCCTGCACCAAACTTTGAGAACCTGGTGCTCCAGTAAATGTAAGAAAGATCACTGTGATACAGCAGGACAATAGAGCAACACCCTTGGTGTTCTAATAAAGTTGCAGCAACTATACTCAGAATTTTATTTCATTATATAAGGCATTTTGACAAAGTCTAAATGTTTATTTCTACATGGACATCCAAAATGTGGTACTCCAGGCCGTGGTTTTCTCTGATAAAGGAGAGATATATTTTGATATCTTAGGCAGTTAGAGAGCATGGGAAGATGATGGGGGTGAAAAGATAATAGTATGGAAGTTACGGGGAAAAATACAGTTATAATCCCTGGAGGAAACATGGTCAGCATATCTGACCTCCCACACACTATGCAATCTAAGGGGGACCCAACAGAGGGTGAAGCAGAGTGGAGACACCATTGTCAGGCACTGTGTTGAAACCCTTGCAAAAGAGGGAACTCAGTGGTGCTTTCCAGTTGATAAGCCCCATAGCAGCTGAAAACCAAGGGAGATAAAGGAAAATGTCCTGCTCTTGAATCAGCAACTGTTATGAAATCATTCTACTGGGACTAACGCATGTCCCCATCCCAAGGTTATCTTGGGTATTATCCTGAGCTATCCACCCCCCAGTTCAACCACCCCTCACTGATTAAGAGTATGACCAAAGCCACTCAAAGCCACCTAAACATAAAGAAATAGTATAAAAATGAGTTAAGAACAGGGAGAAATGGGGGAAGACTCCATTATAACTTCTGGGATCAGCTGACAAGCTGAACCTTTCTTCTCCCTCACAGGGACGCCTACTGTGTAAGAAATGTGATCTCTACATGCTGAATGACTGTCTCAGATCAGCTTTTATTTGGGATTAAAGCTTGCTAGTACATTGCTTTAAATTAGTATATTGAATATACTTCTGTTGTCTGATACTATCACTGGCAAGTCTCAAACCTTAACCTTTCACAATTCTATAGTAATAAAGAGTGTTATTCTGCAAAATGCAAGTCATTCAAGGGCACTGCCCGTTGCCTGCAGCAGGTAAAGGAGGAGACCCAAGAGGAGGTTTCTCTGTTAGGTGTGTGACCCTGAATAAGTCAGTGGAACAGATCCAGCAGGACTGCTTAGTGAAGGGTCCCATAATGGGACACTGACAGACTGGGTGGGCACAAGGTTCACGGCTTTCCTGGGGCTCTGACAGACTAATCAAACACAAAGGGTTTGAGTAAATCTGCCCTTTTTACACGACAGCAAGGAACACATTCTCCTCTGCTTTCACATTGCTCAGGTCTAGAAAAGTCACACTTCTTTTGCAGGTGAACAGGACAGGAGAAAGCCCAACAATTTCCTACTATTAAATATTCAAATAGTTTTTTGCTTTAAAATATATTTCTTAAAACTACGAAAAAAATTAGGTACTCAAAGGACTGTTTCTACACATGGACAGACAAGTTAATCAACTGTCCTCTGTATTGTTTTGAATATTTAATCTAAATTATTTCATTACTTAGAAATGCTGTCAACCATTTAAAATTTTTATTTGGTAAATGCATAAAAGTAGGTCACTGAAAACAAGCTGATACACAATAATACACAGACACGTCAGAGGATTAATATATAAAAATCAAGAGATGAAAAACTGACCTGCTGCTTCTGGTATTTGTTTAGTAGGGCTAAAAATAAGACGTAACATCTGGAGCAGTCTGCTAAAGCTGCACAGAAGTCATTGTAGGTAGAAAGTTTGCTATTAAAAGAAAAAAAGTATGTAAATTAATGAAAGGACCTTTTTCCACAAAACATTTTTTAGAAAGTCACTTTTGACTCTCAGAGCTGTATTTTCCAACAAATGAAGTGAATGCCAATACTCTACTTCTAGCAGAGGCATGTGCAGTTATATAAGAGCACAACAGGAGCACAACAGAAGCCTAGCTACCCTTACCACAGTGAATTATGGGAAGAAGCAAACATAAGGAGCTTTCCAACATGCTTGCCATACAGGCACAGTATGCTAACACCAGCACTTCTTAGTGCTAAATGGGAGAACTGGATTTTCAAGATTATGTGGGAAATCAGATGAGAGGAAATAAGGGGTCCCTTCCTAGTGCACATCTAGCAGGGCCCAGCAACAGCACTAAGAGAACACATTTCTCACCAGCAAATACAGAAAATGCACCTCCTCGCAGGCAGGATTTATCTCTGCACGTTTCCTAACTCCACTGCTCACCTTGACCATTGCCAACACTGGGAACTGGACATGTGTTGGTCACACCAGAAAAATGCAATACCAGAACAAGCTAGGATAACACCTTACTTCTCATGTACTCAAAACCAGAAAAGATCTGTGTTGATGTTCAACTACAATTAATTACAGGAAGATTTACAGTCTTATTGAATGAATAATCTGAATAGATTGAACATATTTTCTCCAAAGAAGCTGTCCAAAGTTGATTGAGAGAATAATCATTCTGTATTACTAGAAGACAAAACAAAATTCAAATCTGAGCTCTGTACTGCACAGTATATTTTTTTTTGCGACTGCAGTTTCCAGGAAGGTAATTAAATTGATTTTATGGCTAATTTGTATTCTTGAAGCATGAAGTTCTAATCTTATGGAAAAAAATTGAAGTAGTAGGAAACTTTAAGTAAGGCAAGTTATTTTTTCTCCATATTGAATTCCCTATCAAGTAAATGTCCTTATCAGAATTACAGTGTAAGTATCAATTACACTTAATTACAAACCTATTATCCCACTTTTCATGGCATTTTCCAAGTAAAAGAAATGCTCCCTCCTCAGAAGAAGTAAATATGCTCGAAGTGCTGTAATCATTGCTAGGGATCATTTTTAAGAAGAAAATTAGAGACAGATGTGAACAAGGCAGCATGGAATTGGGGAAGCCATTCAAATGCTTTACAGGTAGCACAAACAGCAGTGGAGCAGATTTGCCTGCTTTCAGCTGTCTGGAGGAAGGAATGCCAGCCCCTTATGCAGCCACTGTTCACAGCACAACTCCACCTCATCCAGAAAGGAGAATGTGATGGGTAATTTGGAGGAGCTGAACTGGAGGAGAAGTCCATAACAGAATCTCATTGAACACAGAGCCACAGGCAACATGACTCAATGCAGTAACAAAGCAGCAATAGCAAAACCTTCATCCAGCACATCATTCATAAACTGTGCTTATAATCTAATTAACTCCTGAAATTACCAACAGCCAATTTCACAACTTCTTCAAAATCCTTATATTGTTTGCAAGTCCATTTAGCACTGAATATTGCAATCTGATGCTTGGTAACTGGAAGACTTTTGACTGAGAAACTATTCAGACTACAAAATCATCTTTTTGGTGACTAAGTCATACTGATCTCCCTCTAAAAAGCACAACTTGGGAAGCAGCCGTTGGCTGCTCATAAAACTGAGATTCTTTCAGCACTTCCATCTGCACACTCAAACCTTGATCCCAGGGATTAATTTCCTCAAACACTCTGTAATAGCTCAAAACAATGAACACTGGTTATATTTTCTCTCTTGTATATTTTATTTCACAACACACAGTTCCTTGTATAATTTCTCTCATTAATCTTTTTCAAACATGGCCTAGACCAGGATTAATAAATAATAAACGGCATGATAATTTATGTAGTTTTACAACAAATGGTACTTTAAAAAACTCCATCAGAATCTGTGGGATCAAAGAATGACACAATACAACAAAATATTTTTCATGGGGATGATGAATACAAGTTCATATGGCTACAATAAAACAATTCTGTGTTAACAGAGACACAATACCATTAAAAGCTACACAGAGCTTTTTAAAAAAAGAGTTCAAGTAAGTCTCCCAGTTTTAGCGCTTGATCCTGCCTCCTTTGAGGTTACTCAAGCAGGAAGAGGGAGCTGCCTGCACGCAGAACCGTGCTCACGCGTACCTGAGCACCCTGACAATCCAGATGCACATGTCCTTGTCGCTGCCGCGCTGCTCCAGCGCCACGCAGAGCTCGGGGATGGCACCGCTGTCGCTGAGCCGGCGCCGCGCCAGGGGACAATCGGCCAGGATGCGCAGAGTGGCTGTGACCTGCACACGGAGCGGTAGAACAGCGATTAAGCACGGCTGCTCACAGCAGAACGCGCTGGTGCGAGAACTCTGCAAAGCTCAGGTCTCACCCACAGCACCCCAGGCAGCCTGCACGCCCTGCTAGCATTCTGCAGGGATGTATAAACCCGTTAATAGCAACAGGAAACGTGCAGGCAGCAAGGTGTGTATTTGGGATAAATGTTTGTAAATGTAAGATTGATACTGGTCTTTGCCTGCATGTAACCTCCTTCTTTGAGGGACACATGATCTTTCATGTGCTTTAACATCTTGCACGTACACAACCACGTACAACTGGAATTAGGTGAAATGCTGCGGATGGTTAAAGTAATTCTTTGCATAATTCTCCAATAAATCCTAGTGTTGCAAATTTATATTTAAGTCGTGCAAATACTGGCACATATTTTAATGGTAACTAAACTGCAAACCAAAATAAATTGATTTTAAAACACAATCAGATATATTCCAATTTAAAAATTAATCAAGATCAAGAGAAATCCACTGCTTGAACAATGTAAAAATGAAAAGCTTAAGTGCTCAAGTCTGTTTGAAGAAACCAAAATATTTTCAGATGATACTGTTCTATTTCAAGGGGCTTAAAGCATAGTCTAACACTTGTAGATGTACAAAATGAATCACTTATTGCATATTTTGAAATATTCTGGTTCTCTTCCAAGGCAAGATTATTCAAATGACAAGGTCAGACAGGCAATGACGATCGAATCCAGAACTTACTATAAAATGAATATGAAGCCATTCAATCTTATGTGAATATGGGAATCCTTCAAATTTTTCTTATTCAGAGTGAAGTTATTAACTTCAATTTGGTTTTGAATGTAGTCTAAAAAGGCATAAAAACTATCTGTTCAAATTGTTTCTTATCACAAAAAACTCTGGAAATTAAGCATTTTGTCAATAAATAGGACTGCTTCTCTAGTGATATGTAATTATTAATTTTAAAGAAATACTCTTGACAAAGAGCAGGTTAAGATGTTGTCTTTCAGCTTTTGCACATAAGACTCTATGCATATTCTGTCCATTCTCTAGCAGCTTTCAAATTTGCTGTCCTACTTCAACAAATCTGACAGCAGATTACAAATCTTCAGCGGCCCCATGATGTCCCGTAATGGAGCAACAGGAGATGCAACATGCCAAAATGGAGAAGCAAGGCATAGAGGGAAAAAAATGTGATAATGCAATATGTGAATGGATTTAACTTCAGCACTAAAAATGCAATTTATCCTATATTCATAATACAGAGAATCTGAACCTACAGAAGCCATTTTGCTCCAATATCACTCATATTTTACAAAGACACCTGGAGGTTTTTATTACTTTAATTGAACAACGGCAAAAAAAATTTCCAGATGCAGATTCCTTCTCAAGTCATGATGCTTCAAAAACATCAACACAATGCTGGAGATATATTTTAATAAATAGATTCTGATCAAATGCTTTGCTTTTCAAAGTTTTGGTAGAAAAATTCCTGTCACACAGAATAGAGACAGGAGACTCCAGTCAGTGCTTACATACAAGATATTCACAGTTAGCCTAGGATGATATTTGTTGAATTCTAGCTCAACTTCAACAGAGACAATATAGGAAATTAAGGATAAGCCACATATTAAAAGAACTTTCATTGCAGCAAAGAGACTTACATATTGGATAAATGAAAAAAAAATCAATAGACAATGGTACAGAGGTATCCAAAAAGAGAGTAAAATTTTTCAATGCCTGATATAGTTAGATGGTTCAAAGTCCTCAAGCAGTAAATTTTATCAAGAGCCATCCTCAGACAAAGACAGGTTGGAAAGGAAAAGCAATGAAAAATAACATACACATTTAAATGTGCAGGAAAACAGCAGTCAGCAGTTCACAGAGGTATATATCTACAAAACACAGTTAATGCGCAAATGAAATGTTAAGAGTACAGTTTAAAAAATAATAGAAGCTAGACAGACAGCAGTTGAATTCTAGAGATATTGTGATTGCTTCAAGCAGACCCTGTGTTTCATGGAGAAATGTATAACAATTGTCTTTAGCAATCCCCACCAGCCCTAATCCTTATGTTGCCATACGAAAGATCAAATGCACCCAAACAGAAAATTTAACTGCTCTTTTTAAAGGAGAAGACATTTAAGTGTTTTTCAATTAAGGAACATGGAGTACTTATTAAGTCTTGACAGTGACTCTTCAAAAATCTTGGTTTTTGAATAAGCATTACTATATTTTTGTATAAATATTAGCAGACTGTTAGATTAAGCAACATAAAATTAATCAAAGATGACCCTGTTTCATTTCCTCTGTTAAGGACAAAAAATTATTACAAACATTTAAATTTTTGTATTGTATGACTTCTGCAAAAAATCCATTGTGAAAGAATGAAGAAATCAGGTAGAGACTTTATTCCCACAAAAAGGATCTAGCAAGATTATGTATAACACTGCCATCTGGTGATTGTGCAATTATACAGTTAAAGAATGAAGAGTTGGTCCCAATTAAATGGGATATTTAAGAGAGAGAAGAGCTTCCTTCAGAGACCACTGTGACTATGTAAAGTGGTTTTCTCCTCCAGTATAATTTTCCTTCTGTAACTGAAGACATTATTTCTGCCTTGTCACTGGCTATTTGATCTGTGGCTACAAGATACCATATGCTACAAAAACTTTATTCTGAAGACATGGAACACAGAAGAAACTTTCTTCAATCATGCCTAAAACAGAACTCCTCGTTCATTTGTCTATGATGAATGATCAATTAACTCACATGAAGGAAGTAGTGCACAGGGATTTGTTGAAGGAACCAATATGAGAAAGTCACACAGGAATTCCACAGAAGTAGGAATCACTATTTTTCTCATAAGAGGAAGAAAACCGAAGTATCTGTACTACTATAGAAGAGAACACAAACAAGTGAAAGAGCAATTTCAGTAAGAGACAGCTGTCAGTACTGACTTCTCCACAAAACACTCAAGAACTTCTTAGAAACAGCCAGTCCATTCAAACAGTAAAAGCAGTTTTGCTGTGCTTCCATTTGTACCGAAAAAAGCAGAGATAAGAGAGATTTTTTAAAGAAAGCATAAAATATAACAATATTCCTTCCATACATTTGCAAACTAAACCTTTGATTAAAAAAAACCCTAAATTTATCCACAGGCAAATAATGGAAGAAAAATATTCCTGCAACATTGTGGGGAAGTTCAGGCAGCTAGTCAAAATCCTGGAAGTAAACTGATTCATTAGTTTTATTACGAAGACTAAAAAAAATCAGACAAAAATCACCAATAGCAATGTGGCGATAGAAGCTGTTTTCTCACATAATTTCAAGAAGTATAAAATCCCGTGCTTATAAATTAGTAGAGAATTAAACTTAGTGCAAACACTACCTCAGAAAAATGTCCAATGTATTTTCCTATGAAGTACCTGAAAGTTTACAATTAAACCAGTTATTAATCATTACATCAGTAACTTCCAAACAAATGCCAGGAATCTACCTGGCAAATCCTTGGTAAACACAATACCCATCCCCATTGTTTCTAAAATACACGAGTTTAAACAGTTATAGGGCCAAGGATTAGTTTTCAGAGCCACCACTTATCAAGGTGTTTTGTATATGAAAAGTTTTGAGCCTGCTGCCTTAGAAGATTCAAAAAGTGTTCACTTTTGAAACTACTTTTTTCTTACATTACAGTTCTTCAAAAGCACTCTGTTAAAGAAACACAGCTGTATGTTTTTAAAATGCATTATTCTTGTAATAAAAAGCCATTATTCTTGTAATAAAAAGCTTTTTGTAATCTCCTAGAGTATTGTAGAACCAGTTTGTATTTATTAGTTCAATTTCAAGAATTTAGAGAACACATTTTTATCTATTTACTACAGTATCCAGAACACTGTCAGTACAATAAAATGGTAATGAGAAACCGGTTTATTAGGTACCTAAAAATATTTCTATTAACTTCAGAATGTCTAAAGCCTTTCAAATTGACTACATACAAACATATGTGGTAATTAAATTAGGTCCTGAACAACTTCATTAAACTTCTTAAAAATAAGTCTATTGAAATATAGGTACAACTCAGTCAGGAGCACACAGGGTTAGCTTATCTCCTCTAATTAAATTTTTAATTTGCTGTTGAAGTACATACTTTTAGAAATAAAAGTAAATGCCAACCTGGACTAATAAGTGGTTCAACTTGGAGAAATACGTGTCATGTTCTTTTATGTTATTTATCTGCTTCATTAATTCCAGAAACATTTCAACAGCTCCTTTGCTGACCATTTTATAAAGGAGTGCATCATTTTCAGACATGAATTTTATAGCTGCCATGCAATAGACAAAAGCTTCATTGTTTGTTTGTAGATCTTCATTCCACAGAACCTGCAACAAATAATCTAAAAGGAAAATAATTATTCAGAAAGGCTAATATTAAAATTTACATTTGATACAGTCCAGTCATTAAAGAGATTAACAACTGGAAAACACCCTCAGATTGAACTCTTACATTTCTAATAAGTGGGCTAGAAAAATTGGATATTTGGATTGAAACCAAGAAACAATTATTGATGAATAAAAGAATGGGTCCAACTTTTGTTCTCCTAGACTTCAAGAACCAGTGTAAGCTGTAAACACATAGCAGGAATCATCGAAATCCTCAGACAAGATCTGCAAAAGTGATTGTGTGTGCCTAGAATTTTGTGTACTAATTCCTACTACTTCCTTAGAAATCAAATGTCTTAAAGCATCTCAAATGGAGCACTATAAAGCACAGGGACCTAACTCAACTCTCACGTTTGAAATCTGTTCATAGCCTCTATAGATTTACTTTCTATGTAGGGAAAGTTGACATAAAAGTTTTGTTTTGTGCAACCACTGTCAGACATCTGAAACGTTAAAATTTACAGTTAACACAAGCCCAATGTATCTTTTGCAGTCAAATTGAGACATTCTGAATTTACTGGGGGTATCTTAAAAAAATGAGTAACCCACTCAACTTTATACGTTTGAATTTCTAGTAACTGATTCAAAAAGATATTTATTTCCGCTTTCTGTTCCATTTGTTCCAGTTGAATAAAAACATTTTCCTATACCATTAAACTGAAGAGATTTAAAAAATTTTTTCTGTCTCAACAGAAGCTGAAAGTCTTGTCAAGTATATATGCATATGAATGAAATACACACACTTTAGGCTCTTGTCCAAACTCCCACCCTCACCAATTAAATCACTTGGGTTGTGGCAACGTGAGAACTCAGTTGCAGGTTCCTGCTCTGCACAGTATCAAACGGGGTCTTGAACAGTAGTTGTCTATTCTGGGATGAAGGATTAACTTATTTCTTCTACTGGAGCTGCTGCATTGCATATAAATTGTTCACAGGGACAGAAGAGGAAAAAGAAATTGAATTTATAATCCAGTGACTGCAACAGGGATCTGGGCAGCTGTGATGATAGACTAGGGACATCTTCCAGGACAAGGTGAGTCCAAAACACAGAGAGTGAATAAACAAATAAAGCAACGCTCTTTCCTTGACTAGTTTTAAAAATACAGGGAAAGAAGAGCAAGTGAAAGAAAAGTGTATGAGGATGGAAATGAGAGCAAAATACAACTTGTTCAAATGCTATGTGTGATGCTGATCTCCAAAAAATTGTACTTTTCAGTATCCAAAGTCAACTTAGCTGTTCTGTTTCCTGTGAGTCTTTTCCTTACCACTTGAAAGGCCTGTCTTTATTTCTGACAATTGTGTACTAAACCTTAAGACCATGAATACTCAACCATTTAAGCAAAAATACGCCTGTGCCTTAACCAATACACATGCAGTAACTGCTTGCAAGATCAAGGCCTACATTAATAAAACACACTAAAGTTTTAATGAAAGGAATGACTATCAATCAATACTGAGTACCATTTGCACACTTTCATTTTCTTCGTATTTCTTGAATTTGCAAGGGGCGGGGGCTGTGCATGACACAAACACTGTTACAAGCACAAAAGAGATCTTAGAGCCATTGCTGACAGTTCTCCAAAACCACTGTCTCAATGTGCAGCAGCAGCTATTGAAAAAAAATTAAAAAGCCAATGACTGTTTTCAAGATGCTCCTTGATGATGGCCAACACCACAGTCAGCATTATTTCACTTCCATAAAATTTGGTGCAGATGCAGCTTGAATTCTATAGACAGTTTTGTTCCATAAATCTCAAGAAGGATCCACTGGAGTTCAAGAAGGTACAGAGAAGGACTTAAAAAACAACTGAATTACATATTATCTGTTCAATGAGGCTGAGATACCTCAGTACTGAAAAGGAGAAGACAGAGATAAGTGATAAGACTGCATTTTAAAAAATCCTGAAGGTGAAAGGTAAGCTGACAGTACAAACCCCTACACATCCTGCAAAACTACAAGCAGGGGGATAAAGATAAAATATAGATTTAAAACAGCACACAGAGAATTTCTAGAACTCGTTTTATGACATTCTAGAGGCAGACAGAATCAGAAAATCTAAAAAGGCAAATTAATGAACAAAAGATGTATAAACACAGACTAAAAACTGATTAGGCAGGGATGCACCATGCAATGTCCCTAATAAACAGAGCAGTTCTGGATGCTGGAGTAGTGCTGGGGAAACAGATCACAGAGAACAAATATCCCATGCTCCCCCTAAACAGCATTCCCCATCCCAATTGCTACTTAAGACACAGAATACTGAACTAGACCAACCACTATTTGACCTAGGCAGGCAATTTTTAGTCTGTGACAAAGTTCACTCTGAAAATGTTTTTTCAAAGATTAACAACTTTAACTGTTGAATTTCAACATCTAAGTTACAGACAAGAAAGAATACATACCCAATAATGTATCATTTTGAATGATGAAATAATTTTTTTTGTTCCTACAAATTTTAAATGCTAGCTTGCAAACACCAAGAAGATTTTTTCCATCTACTTTCATCTGCAAAGAAATTAAAAGACACAACTAAAATTTGCATACAAAAATGCACCATAACATTCTACAAGTTCAGACACCATGGCAAACTTGTATTCTCACAAAACTGTTAAACCACAGCTGAAATCCAAACAGTACATTAAAACAAACTGAAGATGTATGCAGAATTAAAGGAAACTGAAATACCTGAAACTCAGGTATTTTAAACTCTATTTAGCAACCTGTGCTGGCTTCAAAATAACAGATTTTAACTTTTAATGTATCAATAAAATAAGTAATATATCAATAGCTTGCAGGATTTTTTCTCCAATTCCCTTACAAAGAAATTCTGTATGGAAATCAGTGATCTGGCATCTGTGGCCATACCACAAGGATCTCCACTACAACAGTACATGTCATAATGAAATTTACTCTCAGCTATTGGAAAACACAATCTTATAATGAGAGATTGTGAAAGGGAAGTAAATGTGGTAAAAATACAATGACATCTCTCTCTCTTCCTTTCCTTTGCATTTCAAGGGCAATTTCTTCTAGGTTCATGCTTTTTAAAAGATTACACAGAAAAATGTCTGTAAAGGCACCTTTCTTATTGATAAACACCACTTAACATCTTTGTGGTATCAGAGCAGATAACTCTACCTTCTGAATAAATTAACTTACACTACCTTATAGAGAACACAACTCCCTCAACATACACACAAATTACTCAGAAGCCTACAACACAATGTTAGTGGGCATCCTTTCACCAGTGACTGTCCAAACATGTTTTGTAGAACAAAGAAGTTCTAAAGAACAACATTTCACTGAAAGTTTTAACCAGAAATACTAAAGCAAAGGATTATTTACATTCATTCCTTTAAAAAAAAACAAACCTCCATTTTGGTATTTTCAGAACAAGATCAAGATATTATTCAAAAACTAAGCTTCATTTCCATGTGTACATTTTATAATCATTGGGTTTTTCAAATCCCTGCATGTGTATCCCAGTTTAGGACACTGTGTCTTTTCCTTGCCCATACAATATTCCTGCCACCATATACCAACTATCCTACTTTGTGCCCCTCCTTCCTTCCCTAGATGAAGCTTCTCTGCAGAAAATAAGCTACAAGTGCTGATCTAGATGAATGGGAGAGCAGTACCTCTGTGATAGTAAACTGTACTTAGGAAAGGGTTAGTTTAGACACAGTTTACAAGTATGAAATGAAAAATTAAATGCAAGTTGTAATTCATGATTTTGAGCTTCACATTCTACCAAAGAGCATTTCAAAACACTTACAGCCAGAATAATCTTTGCCAGCTTCAGGGAAAGTGGATCTGAATCAATGTCTACAAGTTTATATAATGTCTTCAGAAGGACGTTTCTTCTTTTAAATCTTTTTCCAAGCATATTTCCTTCATCCAATGCTTGATAGAGCTTGGTACAAGCTAGACAAAGGTGTTCTATATTATCTTCTCCTTGAAGGGTGTAGGAAGGGAGAGAAAAATAAAAATAATTATCAGTGCCACTCTATCCAGAGCATCTCAATACATGAAGACATAGAAGAACAAAATAAAGAACAGGTTGCACAACAACAAAAATAAAGACACCAAATATATGTCTTCACCTGATAGCATGATTCCCAGAAATAATTTTATTCTGCTTTTTCAAAAAAAGAAGACTCAAGCCAAGAAATCATTGAGCCAAAATAACACCTACAGCTCAAATGAAACTCACCTTCGATGCTTAATAATCAGATTGAGCAAATGTCTACAAGGAAACTGTGTCTCTGAAAATATTCTGTAAAGCACTCCACCAAACATTAGATGTGAAAAAGGATAGTTAAGGAGAATTTTTCTCCCCATATACGCCACTTTATGCATCAAACCTTGCTGGGATTAAAAAACATTGAATGTAAAAACTTGCTAGAACTCTTCAATGTATAGGTGCAAGATATATTTGAGTGGAATGTTGTCCTATTGACAAAAAAGTGATCTACTTCCTCACCCAACTCCTTGAGATTCTGTTTAAAATACACACAAATGAAACAGAAAATTATTACAAAAACTGCATCTCAACACAATGGAATCATGTATGTGTTTACTTTACAGAGAAAAGGAAAAGTCTTGTCTATTTTTAAAATTGAACAGTGAGATTTTTTTAAAACTTTTTTTATATTTCCTTTTGTCCATAAGGTGACACTTGCAAAGCCCCACATAAACCCACCTGAACTACAAACTCTGCATTTGTTCAGGGTGTACTTCACAGCTGAAATGGAGGCATATTCAAGGAGTCAAAGCACTTGTGATGAAATATGTATGGATAGAAAACTACAATAAAAAACCTGTCTGAGGCCCCAAACCTGTAGGCAGATTCAAGGACCAATCTCTCAGGCTGAGAAGTGCCTGGAAGCTCTCAAGTTGCAATCATTACACTCAAGGAACAGCAACGACTATTCCATTTCTACTCTCATCATGACAGAAAATTTAACAAAATATAGCATTATTCTAAATGCTCTGCTCCAGTAAGCTGTGAAACAGGAGTTGCAAGGAACTAAAGCTGAAAGGTCTTACACTTCATTTCATCAAAACTAACAACAACAAAAATTATTCATCACTCATCCCATGGGGCATTTTAAAGCACAACCTCCTGAGTACTGGAATGTAACAAAATAAATTATTTGTTCCTGTAGAAAAAGAGACTTTGGGGTTTTTTTGGTCATATTACAAACAACTCAAGCACATCATATTCAGAAGAATTTAGGCAATAAATAAGTTCCAGGTTAACTTCAAATTTGCTTTTTAATGGAAAGGTTTCTGCAAATATTTTTGCGTGAGGAAGGTGAAGAAAAAGGCTTCTCTATTATTTCTTCTACATATGAAAAACTAACTCGACCTAAGTTCATGTGCAGGGAATTAGCTAAAAGGTACGANAAAGGTTTCTGCAAATATTTTTGCGTGAAGAAGGTGAAGAAAAAGGCTTCTCTATTATTTCTTCTACATATGAAAAACTAACTCGACCTAAGTTCCTGCACACAAAATTAAATAATATTAAATTACCAACAGACCTACTCAAAGCATTTCAACTATGGAATTCTAATATCCATTTTTATAAGAATTGTGCAGAATAGTCTAAAGAAAGCAATATAGCAACACAGTTGAACGGGGCAATGATACAATTCAGTGACAATTTGTGCTAATATTCGAAAAGCAGCAAAACTCAGATTTTAAGGTTTTTGTAGTACTACATTCAATCAACTGGTGAGAAAGTATCATTAGATAATGTCATCTATTATTAGAAAGACTAAGTCTAAAAAACTAAACTAGTTTTTTAAAAAGCTAAAAAATCTCCAATACACTAACCAAATCAAGTAAAGACTAAGGAAAAGGAGCATGAAATCTGATTTTCCTTACCTACATTCATGATAAGGGAAAGACATTATTAGATTTTACCTCTAAATTTTATTTTGCTTACAAATAAAGAACATCTCACCATGCAAAACCATAACTCAGTGGCTGATATCTGACAATCTTGGCATTAAGCAAGGAAAATGTGAGGTTACATAGCTGTTTTCACATTTCCTGATCGTTATTTTCTATACACCAGTGACAGATGTGGGAATGAGAATCCTAACTTTTTTAAACAATTACATGCATTGGGAATCACTTATCACTGTACAGGTGTTTCATACTCATCAATATCTGCAAAACCATGCAAAAAAAGTTCCAATCTGTACCATGCTATCACAAACACTGCTAAAGGTCCTGTTAAACAGAACTATTTGTAAAAACAAATTTACTTTATGTATTCCCACCATTCAAATAAATACAGTGTCTATAGAAGGTAACTGAACAACTTTTTCAATGAAAAACGGATTCCAGATCTTAATATTTCAAACTATACTTAATTTACTCCATTTTGCTTCAGTATTCTGAGTCATTACATACTTTTCTGGCACATCTAACACTTTAATCACAAATAGAAATTTTCATTAAGATTTCCTTATTTTTTTTTAAATTAATTGACACCTTCAATCAAGTCTATGGTTAAAGCACTCAATCTGTGCAGTACTTTATTCTTTAAATTATTAGCTCAACACTGACTGCTAAGCTGACAGAGCTATGTTGTCTAAAACAAGGTAATTTAATCAGACAAGTTAAGATGTTCTCCAAACCAGTTTTGGGGTTTTTTACAGGATCACAGAATGGGTAAGGTTGGAAATGATCTCTGAAATGACATCTGGTACAGCCACTGTGCTCAAGCAGGGCCACCTAGACTGCCCATGCCAGTTTTACACTGTGAAGTCACTGAATATATGAAAGCATAAAAGGTCACATACCCCAATTACTGTTATTATTTTGTAGTAAACACAAATGAGTCCCATGCTTCCTGCAAGAAACAGTACAGAAAATACATCCTTTCAGAGCAGTGTTACCCACTTTTTTCCAGTTCATGCAGAATTGGTAGAATCTTTGTATGCCAAAAGAAATCTTCTTCTTCCCATTCATTTATTCCTGTTTCATCCTTTAAGCCTTCAAAATACATTCAAAACAAAAGTACACATTCAGTGAAGGTTTCACTTTCTACAATAAGAAACAGCTCCAAATACTTTGCTCATTAGTAAGAAAAAATCTACAAATGTCATGTTTTGCTATATTCTGGGTTATTCTATGAATTCAAGCTTTTCTTTTTATTTACATGTTCTTAAAAACAAACATTTCAAACAAAACTAGATGGATAAGTGGTTTGATATGTAAAGCTGTACTGTGAAGCTTTTGTTTGCTGACATTAATGTTTCATTTGATCACTCAATTGGAAGGTAATGACTACTTAAACATCAAAGTGCCCTACTATTTTTCAGCTCTGTGTTCACGTGACAGCTTATTATTTGTTTATAAAAATGCATACTACAGACAATCCTCTAGGATTGTGGAATTTTATCTAGTACATATGCATGACATTACACTAAGCTTGATTAACTGACAGTTCAGTTAGGGAAAAGTCCTGTTAGTTATTACATCCTGTTAGCAATTCTAACCACTTCATGCAATTAGTTTTGTGAACTTCATGACTAAATTTTTATAAAATGTATGTTTCTTTCCTATTCCTCATCGCATTCAGCAGTTTTTCACATGGCAACCTGTGAAATTATTAGTAAACTATATATATGTGAAAGATGTTTTGCCTACAAATAAACACGTCAGAAATCCTGAAGCCAACCAACTCCCACTGTTCTTGACTGCTCTCAGCCAAATATCCCTGTGACTGAGAAGTACTCTTCACTATCAGAAACCTTGTCCACTTCACAAAGAGAGTTTTAAAAAATATTTAAGCATTTTTATACTTGGTTTCAAAAAGAAAATACAAAAAAAAAATAAAAATACAGACATCAAGTTAAAAATTGGCAGAGCCAAAAACCAGTGGACTAGAATTTTTCTGGAAACAAGACTGGGAGCATGGATCTGTTTTCAGATTGGACAAGTGACAAAATTCTGACCTTGACCATTGGGTCATTACAGATGGAGAGCCAGAGTTTCTGCAAAACTAAAGATGTAAAGGACCTAACAGGTCCTACAAGGTGCATGTAGGCATGTGTTTGGAGTTGAAGATTGGGTTAAGCTCTTTATCTTGCAGGCAAGCAAAGCTGTTATAAAGACAGGGTCTGGTTTGTTGTGTTGTTTTTGTTCTGAGTTTTTTTTTATTAGGGAAATAAAAGTCACACAACTCTACAAAATAACATTCAAAAAGCCATTAAGACTGGATAATACACATTTCTTTCAGTGACGGATTTGTCTGGAAATGTCTCCTGTTGCTCATGACTAGCTCTTAAATTTAAAGGACAATGTAAATTCTTAACACAAACATGAACAAACACAAAAAATACTATACTACCTGAGAACACCAACAATAAGAGGTTTGCATCACAAGAACAGTATCTCAGACCTTAAGACAGTGACTGGCTACTGGCATTACTTGGAACAGTAAAACAATTCAAAACTTCCTATTTTAAAAGCTTCCTTTTTAGAAAATAAACCAGAGGTTTTTTTGGTCTATATTAACTATCTACCCACATCTTGCACACAATTAATCTATCAAATATACCTATTTCAGAAGATTATTTAAAAATGCTGTTATTTCATAAGTAATACACTATACTTATTATATATATTATATATGTATATGTTATTAGCAAATATTATTATTATTATTATTTTGCATAGCATTTTTATTTTCTAGATCAAACGAGTTGACAATCTTATTTAAATTGATGAGTAGCCTAATTAATAAAACACTATGCAGTGTTTGCAATGATGTTAAAATTCTGCTCTGGATAATGTAAAAATACAGCTGAAATGAGAACACTAGAACAGTGTGCACTCTTCCTTCCTGCCACAAAACCCACATATTGAGTCAATTATTTCTTTTATTTTCTATCTGTAGCTATCTCTCTTAAACTGAAAGATGGGACTGACTTTTTAACTACATATATACTTGCCTAATTTCATTGGGCAAGAAATAGAAAACTTCAGGCATACAGATATATATTATTTGCAGATAAAGCCAAACTTCTCACTTAAAAAAAAACAACTTATCAAAGCCATTTAATTTTCAGTTCAGAATGAAAGAACAGATTTTTTTTGCACTGCTCTCCGTCACTTGTCTCATATTCATCAGAAGAATACAGCAAACTGAAAGTCATAGTGACATAATTTTTTTAAAAAGTATCTCTTATACCTAAGTAAAAAAGAAAATAATCAGCTTTTACTAAACAGTATAAATCCTAGCAATAAGAATGACCAGACAATATATGACTATAAAGAAAAGCAACATTACTAAATTGTATGTGTCTCAGTCCTAAGAGATTTTTTAAGCTGCTGATAAAAAGTTAGGGTACTAGCTATATTTAAAATATTGCAGAAGCTGTCCAGAACTTTCAAAAGAACAAACCACAATTCAACAGAAAATATACTCAAGCAAAAGAATGCAGCAAGTTCAAGCTGGTTGCCTCAGTTTTTCATAGGTCTTAACCACTGCTTTGCATTCTGGTCAAAAAAAAAAAAAAATCACTAATCAGTCTACATTTATTGGTTGCTGTTTTTAGCATGTAAATACAAGAGCCTTAGCAACACTGAGCTTTCAAAAGCTGAGTACTGCCTGACTTAAAATGTTTAGCCTTTCCACTGAATACTGAGTGGCCATGAATAGATCAATATTAGAACAGTCTACTTCCTCTCTAAAATGTAAAGCATAAACACAATTCATATCAGAAAATAGAAATAATTTGTAAATGAACACTCCATCCAGAATCCCATTGTAGAGAAGAAATGATGGAGAATTCCTACTGCTATCCCACTCTTTTCTGTGGGATTAAAGATGAAGCATGCACAAACTAAGGAAGCTACATAATGTTAAGGAAAGTAGATACAAAAAGAAACAATCTTAAACCCACATTTTATATTTTCAGTAACATCAATAAAATAGCACAAACAAATTAAAAGGCTTATAAGTATACTAACTCACATGACATGGTAAATGCTCTCTGCTCCTCATAAGGAAATGAGAGCAGAGCACAATACACCCTTTGACAGAATAATCTGGAATAATAGAGTTTCTCAGTTCTAGAAAAAAATAATAAAGCATAATAATTGCACAGTAGAAACTTCAGGTTTCCATACCAGACTCTCAAATACACTCATGTGATGTATTAAATGTTCCAGCTATGAGGAAACGTTATTAAAATCTGTTATGTAAAATTAGCAAAATGCATCCCTACACAGCAATCCAAAATCTGTTTCTTCAGATAATACAGGCTGACATAATTTTATTAGTTTCTGTGCAACTATGACAGATTACAAAAAGTGATGGGCAAATAAGGTATTAATGGATTGGAAAATTCTTAAGCCTGGATATGGGAAGAGCAAGACAGGAAATACAATAGATTTTTAGAGTGAAGATCTCTTGAATATTGTTTCTCTTTACTAAGAACAGTAAGAAAACCCAGTATGTCTAGAAAACAAAAAATATGTTCAGTAAGCAATAAAGAACAATATTGACAATCACAAGAATTAACTTATTTCCATTTGACTGAATTTCACATTTTTTGGATAGAGATTGAAATTCCTTGTACCTGTTACTCTTCTCTTCCAGCCTGAAGCCCTTGGCTGTGATGACCTTTCACCAGGCTCTTTCATCTGGTCACTAAAAGACACAGTATGGAAACAAAAAAGCATTATTAGAAAACTGCTCACAATGTTTGCTCTTCACGTGAACTGACTTGTGCATATTAACAACTAATTGGAAAAGATGATGTTATTTTACTAAGTTAGTGAGTTAGCTGCTCATTAAAAGTTACATGTAAATAAACCTCTTCCCGTATTGCAAAAAGCTCTTTCAAAAATACTGACATATTCACACCACAAGAGGTCACCATTATGGAACACAAAACCTGGAGTGTTTCTGCTTGCTCAATAAACTGAAACATGAACCAAACTAAATTCAGAAAGAGACAAATTCTATTTTACCATCAGCTTCATTAAATTAATATAAAACTCAACTACCTTAAAACTGTAAGTTTGTTCATTCACGAGGACAGTGTTTTTTTCTGACAGGATTAACACTTTTAAAACATTTAATGAGAAGACTTTTCAAAGAAACAAACACTTGAGTAACCTTTAAAGCATATGTTAGAATTTCTGGGTCTGCCAGTGAACTATTGCTAACTGTGTAGTGGTCACTAGTTCTGTTAGTACAAGAAACAGGTATGTTGCTATTTCTATTGTTTTACAAAGTAATGCTGTAATTCCTGCTGATTTTATGGTCAGTCTTTTTTTGGACAGAGGAAACTACTACATACATCTATAATAAATTTATTCATTTATTCTGTTTGCCTAGCTACACACTCAAGCAGCACTGATCTAAAAGAAATATACAAGATGTAGACTCTCTGCTATCAAACCGGAATCTTTCTCCTGTACTAAAGAGGGAAGTCCTAGCCTATGTTTTCTATTCTCCATGTATGTTTAATTTAACACTTCTTATTCCGTTTAAAGTTCATGTACCAACACAACCTAATCTCCTGAACTCTCTTATAAAGATGAAAGTAGTGTGTTAGCAATGTTATTTCATTTTTTTTTAACAAGTAATTTAGTTACTCTAAGGCTTAAAGCTAAACTGTTGTTTAAGTACTTTGCTGGATTGGTGCCTAAATCCTGTCTTTCAGTCCAGACAGAAGATGTAACTCAACCTATCAACAGATGGAGACAGAATAAAAGACAAAGCACTTGCAAGATCAGTTCCCTACAAAAGAGACTGGATAGCTCACTGTGATCAGTCAAAAATTTCCCAAGCAATCACATTACAGAAGAACAGTTGCTTCATAATGGCTAACAGTGAATAATGCTTTATTTTTACAGCATGAGGATTTAAGTGCTCCAAAATCCAAATGCTTACACAAACTACCTTGAAATTTTTTCAGCTCACATATAGCAATTTCTACTCCTTTGGCAAAGCAATACCTTATAAAGATAAAAAGACAAGTGCTTGCATCTCTAAGATGTCTGACATCTCTAAGAAAGAAGGGGTTTAGAGCACACATTACAGACAGTTCAATATATTGGTAGAAATAAAAATTTGATTCCATTTCTGTGAATGCCTTGTTCTACAAACCTTAAGAGTTTCAGAAATGTTTCTACAAGTTTCACTCATCCCTGAAATCAAGACTACAACTTGAAAGGACGCTGGACAAGCAAGAGAACAGCTTCAGTCACCTTATACTAAACATAGCTGTATTCAGGAATCAGTACCTTCAGAATTGTGTGTAGACAGGATGACACTACATGCCTATATGAATAAGGATGTTTGAATTTACTTTCCTCAGAGAAAGAGCTTTGTAACTATGCATCCTTTCTGTGCCTCTTTCCTGAAAATGTAAATCCAAGATGAATCCAAGAAACTCAACAAAGACAATCCTGTGAGTTTTGTTGGAAGCAAAAGCAGATTAATATAAAAAAGCCACTAAAGCAAAAGATGAGTTAACTTACCAGACAGAAACAGCATGGGTAAGTTGCAGAGTTAGACCACATCAATTGTGCACAAAAAGAAGTTGGGTTGGAATCTATTGTTTTTTAAACACCAGTATCAACCAGTTTAAATACTTAAATTAGTAGGAAAGCAAATTGTTCTGTGAATACCAGCAGTACAACCATCTATGTTTTTGGGAAATATCCTCATAAGTCACCTGAACTTCCATTATTTTCAGAAAATGAATACACTGAATACTAGATAAATGGGAATGGTTGGTGGGCAGGTTTATCTTTAGGGAATATGCACCATTTGGGAATTCTGTGAGAGATTATAAAATCTCTTTATGCATCTTTACCACTCTGTCAACTTCAGTTTAGTTACACAGACTTTTGGTTCATTATCTTTACAATTTCATTTAGGATTCAAACTTAAATAGAAGTATCTTATTAAGAACAATGCAGTTAAAATATAATCAACCTATTCTAAAAAATAAGTCACCTACTATTGAAGGGAACTGGCTTGTCAAGAGAGTGGTTGTCTTGGAAACAAAGTCAATTGGCAGAAATCTGATCATCTAATAAGGGGCTCATCAAGAAATCAACTGAGAGACTGATGATTCACAGAAGAAAAAGAACTTGGCAACTGGATCAATTTTATCCTTCTCATATAAAAGAAATCACAGTAGCCTCAATGAAGAACACTGCTTTCTTGAATGTACACAGAGTGTGAGGACTTCCAAAAGGAAAGTGAGTCAGTACTGGAGTGGTGTGGTGACCTTGGACAGATGCCGGGTGCTCAATCACATCACTCTTTTCACTCCCCTCCCCAGCAGGACCGAGGGCAGAAAGAAGATGGAGAAACACCTATGGGTCAAGACGAAAACAGTTTAATAAAGCAAAAGCAAAGTCCACTTGCAGAAGCAAAGAAAAACTAAAGATTTATGCTCAGCTTCCTACTAGCAGGCAATGTCCAGCCATTTCCAAGGATTGTAGGGCTTGAGTATGCATAGCGATAGCTCTGGAGGACAAACCTCATAATAACAACTGCTCCCTCACTTTCTTTGTCTTAGCTCTTTCATTGCTGAGCATTACACATTACAGAATCCCTTTGGTCAGTCTTGTCCAGTTGTCCTGGTTTTTCCCCTCAAAAGACCTTGCCCTGCCCTGAATCTACTGGTGACAGGCTTATGTTGGAGAGACAACACTGATGCTGTGGAGTGCTGCTCAGCAGTAGACAAAATGCTGGTGTGTTATCAACAACACCCTTCTAGCTCCTAATGCAAAGCACAGCACTGTGAGGGCTGCTCCAGGGAAAATCAACTCCGTCTCAGCCAGATCCAATACGTGTTCAGTATTTTCCCCTGGTGAAAGAATGGATAATTAAGTGAAAGCTGCATTTACTAAGAAATTCTGCATGTTCAGATATCTACTTGTTTGCTCTTGCCATGAGACTCTTGTTAAATCTGCAAACTCTCACCCTTCCATGGTATTCCAGGGAAAATTACATTTCTACGAGCTATATCCCAGAGGCAAAGAATTGAACTAGTAATCTCCCAAGAAGCTGCACACAACAGCAAGGTCTGAATCACAAATGTGAAATTAAGATCCTAGTGAAGGAATGGTGCTTGGGCTCCTTCCTCACACTGCACCTTAAACATCTGAGAATTTGGTTACCTCTTCACCTGCCAAACAGAAGCTGGCAATGGGCCTGGATTTTGTCTCACACGGTCCCATAGACTTAGACCCTTAGCATCACCCCTGCTACAGTTTTGGCCCAAGAATGATGTTCTTTTCCTTGACAAACATCTGGGCACAGGGCATAGATAAGCAGAGGTAGGGACATTCCCAGACACTACCTTGTGTGTTGGTATTAAAAACAAGGAAGTAATTAAAAATAGTTTCATTGTATAACATAACCTATGAGAGCCACTAAGCCAGAGACTTTAATTTTTATTAATTATTAGTAGAGATGTATCGCTGATGCCCCTGGTATTTTAGTTACCAGTTAAGAGGGACACATGATAATATTAACAAGTTAACACCTCTGTACAGAATTGCATCTATTCAGTACCTGTGGTCAGCGAGGTAGCAAAGCTCAGCAAGAACAAAAAGAGAACGTGACCATCTTTTCTGAATTGTCCATCTTCAAGGCATCCCCTCTTGACACTACCCTGTCCTCATGGTAAGGATCCTGTAACATCTTATATATCCTTAGGGCTTTGGGAGGCAAAACTAGATAACAAAGTGAGAGAAGAACAGTAACTGAGAGAGTGTAATAAAGAATGAAGAGTATACAGGTTGCTTTTCAAAGAGAAGAGTAGGAATAAAGGGGAATGAGAAAAAGGCAAGGGCAGTGGGGATAGAAAATGTCATAAGCCCCATAGCATCTCCTTCTGCAAGTGCCAAGGCCTCACACAACTTTGCTCATCCAGATGTTATGAGTCTCTCCTTTTGCACCCATGTAAACTGGATCTGTGGACCCTCTGCTAAAGTAGATACATGAATTGGGACTACCCCATGTAAACCAGAATCTGAACAGATTCTTACAAAGGGAGAGAGCTACTAACACACAGACTGTGCATAGCATGCCCTGAGTAAATGCTGTAAGGAAGCCCTGGACTGTAGACACAATCTGATGTCTAGAAAGAGATTTCTTTTCCATTTTTAAACGTGCCTTTTTAAATTAAGCCAAAGAATTCTAATTATGAGCATATGATTTCTACACATCTACAGAACGACCACACTTAAATGTAAGTTACTTCCTCAGAAGCAAATCTAAGCTCCAGATAGTTTAAGTTTTTTTATTTTTGGTCTTTATTTTGATAAGGTAAACAAATTTTTTTTCTTCCATTTTCCCCTCATAGTCATTCAGTTTCTCCCCAGTGTATTTTCCTTCATTAGAGCCCCTTCAGCTCTCACAAAACTCCTTTTTCTAATTTATTCAAAAACCAAAAATGTGACTGAAATTTTTACAAATTTTATTTTGGATCCTTGATTTATCTATGTTTTCAGGTCTGCAAAAGTCTAGGAGAGCAATTTCTAACTTTTCACAAAGCTCTAAAAGCAGTCTAGGCACTGCAGTAGATGCAGACTGTTTATACATAAATATAAGCACTGAACATCTGATTTTACCAACATACGTTGTGTGCATTGGAAAGCCAGACATGGTGTATCTACACCCAAAAATCAAGACATTTCACTAAGTGTTAGGAAGAACAGATTTCAAGCAATGCTAAGCAGATCCTGGGGGCCTGTTCAGGCAAGCCAGATTATCAAAATGATTACTAGGCACAAAGGTGTTCTTCCAGACTAGATTAGAGTTCAGTTCCCTTGATCGTAGATAATCCTTAAACAGACAGGCCATTTAGAAAGAATGTTATCTGAGATTTTACTCACCTGTATATTCAGTGTGACTACACATCTACACTGTAATCTGGGTTTATTTTTATTGCTAGCCCTGCCCAGGACAGCATGCCTTATATTGATAAGGATCATTTAAGCAGCTGAGCATTCGTCTTTCAACCCAAGATTCACACTTCTGTACGGACTACAAAGGGAAAAGCTGCAAGGAGGTGTTGTGGAAGTATATACAACTAATAAATCCTTTAAAAGAACCCTCATAGGTAAATAGTTTTTCCTGTTTTCAGTGCTTGCCAGGGGGGAGAAGAAGTAGTTCTTGTCACACAATTAATGATGGTGTCACAATGTACCCTCCCCTTCCAGGTATTGAAAGATGTTGATAAGAGCTCCTGCCAAGCCTCCTCCACACTAAACAGTTCCAGCTCTCTCAGCCTTTTCTCATACAAAGGATTCCTTCACATCTTCATAGCTGGACTGCCTCCAGCCATTTCATATCTCTATTGCTCTATTGCACTGGGGAGCCTGGAGCTGGTGCCAGCAGCCCAGGTGTAGTGGAGGTTTTCAAGACGCAAATGAACAGGGTGTGAGATAATCTAATCTACTCTCTTTTCCACAAAAGATTGTGCCAGATGATCCTCTGAGGTCTCTCACATCCTGAGCTGTTCTATGAATTTGGTGTAGACCAGGACCTTCAGGTCTCTTTGCAAAGCTGCCTCTTAGCTGGATTGCCCCCAGTATATAATGGTGCCTAGGCTTGTTCCCTCAGATGCAGGACTTTGCATTTGTCTTTGTTAAACTGCATCACGTTCCTGTCAAACCATTTCTCCAGCCTGTTGAGGCTCCTCTGGACAACTCTCTGGTGTATCAGCCAATGGGTTATCTACTGACTGCCAGTTAGCACTTTTTCTAAATTATTCAGAACTGTGGTCTCATGAACAGTCCATCAGATCTCTTGGCAGGAGCACTGTAGAGCACTGTGGCAAGATAGGTAGGGCTCTAGACCAAGTTTATCAGGGCACAACCAAACACAGCAGCTTTGTCTCAAAAAGAACAATAGTGGCTCCAGGGAAAGTTAAAGGAGCTAATGGTGATCCTGGGAATTAGGGCACTAAGGACAACAAGCAAACCCTGTGTCAGCAGCAAGGGACAAAGTGGTCCAAGGGCCCAAAGGCAAAGAAGGAGAGTCAGATGCAGAGCTGCAGCAAATGAGAGAAACTGCAATGGATCTTCTCAGAGCAGGTTAATTTACACAATGCTTTTAGGAGCCACTGCTTCAGAACACAGTGCCCTGCTACCGTGATTCTTCCAGTGCACTTTGTGATCAAGAAACAAGAGTCCTAACTAAACCAAAACTACTGATGTTAACAAGAAGACACTGCTCTGTAGACTTTGAAAGGAAGTATAAACAACATTCCAGTATTTTTGCCAAAGCAACTAGGAAGCAAGCAGGAAGTGTTTTTAGCTTTTGGCAAAATGAGAAAAATTAGTATTTTGTTTTGTCATTTACTCTCACAGAAATTAATTTTTCCACATACCAATTAACATTTGCATTTCTCATTAATCCCTTTATTCCCATTTCATTATATTATCTAGACCTTTTATGTTGCCAGAAGGACATCAAAATTAGTTTCTGGTATTGTCTTTCATTAGCTGAATAGTAGGGAATGTGTTTTTGTGGTTTTTATTACAAACCAACTGATTTCTTCCAGACCCATAACTTAGCACTTGAAAAGTACCCTATCCTTTTAGACAAAGAACTGACCTTCACTGAGCCACTTAAGAGAATCTGTCCCTGTTTTGCTCAGCTACCTCAGAATCTTCCATTTTGTGATGTCATCTGAGCTACAAAAAAGACAGATAAACACAATCTGGAAATAAGCCTCAAAGGAAAAAAAACCCAGTATAACAGCTCAGTTTTTAAAGACTATTTTCCTTTTCCAAAAAAACAGTGGAGACAAAATTACTTGCAGACAGCTAGAAGAGATATAAAATAAAGTATTACGCCAATTACATACAACTTGAGTCAGTTTCATTTCTCAACCACCAAACTTCTCAAAAGCATGAAAATAATTCAAGAACTGGTAATATAGATGTCCTGAAATTATTTCAGGAACTGTAGAGGATTATAAGGAACACCATAAGCAGAGAAAAAAAACAAAGAGAGTGAAAACTATAATCAAGTGTATAACTGACACCACTGATATGAGAAAAGATAACGAATAGAAACACAACATAATTTGCAAAAATCTATTGACGAATAGACCAACTACACTCTGAGTCATCCTAAAGATGAGTAAATAACAATTCTATAAACACAATCATGGGAATAGCTCGTTTCTTATGACAACTCCAGTGATAAAAACATACAGCATTTCTTATTTATACAGGCTGTTGATGGAGAACCTCATGCACATGTTAAATAGTATGACTTAAAAGAATAATCAAGGTTGATGAAAAACCTCTATCCTTTTCCTTTTTATTCTTCACAGCCTTTGCATGTTCTGTCTAATATTGAAAATATTAACAGTATCTATTTATGGCAGAGTATATTTAGGCAATTGGACAACTAATTGTCGAATTCTAACCATAAAAAATATCTAAAACACTAGCCTAAATATATTTGAATCTGAAAACCACACCCTCATCATCTTCCTAACTTGAATCTTGCATAAGCATTGCATTTCTAAACAAGAAATAAATTAAAATCCATTGTCACTACAGGTCTACCTAGATTGAACTGGCATTCCTTCTTTACCTTTTGCATGGCACATGTACCCATTCCAGAATTGCAATTCAATTGATATTAAGGACTCTCAAGACCTAGATCTCCTAGATTTGGAGACAAATGACACTGGTCTGAAACTAGGTACTAGAATGAAAAGACTCTTTGGAGTACACAGTAAAAATGAGCCTAAACTCCACTGTCTCTTTTGTGAGCTAAGAGACAGGTAAGTTACCTCTTATCCTTTTCTTTAGAAGTCCATAACAAGTTCTGAAAAAAAAATAATTCTTCTTTCCCAGGGTTCTCTCAGTATCCCTTAACCCTAAAACAAACCAGGCACCTTCTTGAAAGAGTAGATGTCACCATCTGGACTGTAGAAAGCTCTACCAATGAATGAGGATTTCCCACCACTCAACTGTTTATTTTTTAAATCAGTGGTCCAAATAGCCAGTGGAACTGAGGCAGAAATAGATAAAGATTAATTGGGAGTACGTTAATTTCCAATTTCTCTGTCTTTATTAGAATTCAAGAAGCTATCAATATACATAATTTAAAAAAAATAAAAAGAGAAAAATACTGAAAAAAATCTGGGGAATCATCTACACCATACAACAAACCAACAGCCACACACTGTCACTCATTTAAAAAAAAATTATTCAGCTCAAAACAGAAGGGGTGGTCCCCTCAGGAAAAAAAAATCTCTCTCCTCTGTGGGAATCCTTTTCTTTGAAGAGAAAAATAATGTATATTTTGAGCACAGACGTAAAGGTAGTTTAAGCAATGAGAGAGAAGTGATTTCCAGTGGTCCCTCCAACCTACCCTATTCTATGAATATATGATTCACTTTATCATTTAATCCTTTGCTTTTATAATTTTCTATTGAAGTATTCCAAAACTTTAAAAAAGCACAAAAAATAAAAACTACTCTCATAGAAGAAGAATATATTTCAAGGATACTCTAAAACAAGCATTTAATAAAGAGAGCAATGGTGAGAGAAAACAGGACACAGTATATCTTCTTTATAGCACATGCTAATTCTTTTGTAGCTCATTATAAAAATCACTTATCAAAAAAAAGAACAGGCCACTTGGGAATGAACTGTTTGCCTCCAAACTCTTCCTCCCTCAAGGCACCTCTGCTTTTAAGAAGTCCTGGAATGACATTTAAGCTTTCAGAATATCGAGAAATTGGAGTAGGAAAAAAAAAATCATCATCTTTTCTCACCAGGGAAACTGTTGCTCTTCATCAGTAAATCTGCCATCACTGTTGACACTTCTGTTGAAATACATGAATGCAGAAAACATTTTAGAAGTTTCACTTCTATAGCAATCACAATAGATGGCAAGGCACAATGGTTAGAGGAAGATGTAAACAAAACTGAGCTTCCTTATGATTGCCAGAAATTGTTTCTAGCTTTCCTGAGGCAACATATCAATAAATTCAATCTTCTTCAATTAATATACCTATTCTATTACTACTAGATTGTTATTTGCAAAACAGAATTGCAAACAAAATGGCAAATAACTTTTCCCCTCAAAAGGTCCTTTTCTTTTTTCCCCCCAGTACCTTTATAAGGCAGTTGTGATTTCATTAACACTGTTCATTCTTTTCTTCAGTCTTTGGGACAACAAAAGAATGTGAGATAGAAAGTGATCAAGTCTCTTGATGGAATAGAATACCTCCTTTCTGTTCTCTTTAAATATAACAGCATTAATGGCAGGAATCTACCATGCTATTTTGCCATGCTCTACCATTTCCTCATTAGCAGAACAACAGTTTCATTAGGGAAGTTATTTCAGTACATGTATAGGAACTGCAGGGAAAGGAGAGTAGGAAGTCCCACACATCTTCTCCTATATGAAGTGTACTATTTCTACCATCCTGTTGCTTAACTCCTGCAAGGATTTTAAGTCACTGCAATACAGAACTGACCTTGACACCTGCTTCAGAGAGTGACAGAACACTACGTAATAAAAGATTTCACATTCCTTTAAATTTTCATCCTATTACTCCTGAATGCAATGTACTTTAAATAGAAAGTATCTTGTAACCCCATACAAGATGCCTCAAGTATTTATGACACAGAACCAGATACAATCTAACCTTACAATCATCCAGCAAACATGTTCTACTGAGAAAGAACGCCCAATCTCTCACTGCAATGACCCCTCGATAGTTCTGGAGCCTCTTATGTACAATTATCATGAAGACCAAAATCAACAAACTATATGGAAGGCTAGGTTTGTGGTACCTTTCAATTGCCTTGTCAGATGAAGAATGATATTGGTGAACTTACACAAGCACATACAACAAGACCTGCCTGACTTGTGTAGTATCCTACACAGTGGACCAATATGCTCATTGGTGTAAGTCTTAGCAAGGAGTTAGAATGTATGAGAGCAGCTGAGATTATCCATAGCCATGGCATGAACTGCTTGGGCTGATATAGATGAGAGATCTTTGTCTGTGGCTAAAGGGAAGGCATTTTGTATTACTCCTGTGCACCTTGCAGAACTGCAGGTATATGTGGTGCTCTAAGCCATATGAGCACCTAGATGAGATTAAGAAGCTTTGCTTAGGCAGCATTGGCAAAAGCCAGCTCTGACTCAAGCACACAGAAAGTATCTACAACTCACAGGAGAGGTAAAAATGGGTCATTCAAACACACAGATCTTGCATTCAACACAGAAAGATGGAGGAATGTTATATTCCTCTTGCATTTTGGAGAAAACTACTCAGAACAATACTGGAAAGCAATTTTTTGTATTATGTTAAGGCCAGTAATTTGAGACTTAATTTAACTGATGTATGAGATTTGTGATTGCAAAAAGGACCAGTAACAAAGAATGCAAAATCAAAAACTTGCAGAGCTCTTGTTCTTATAAAGAGAAGAGGACAATTTTGAACACACAGGAAACATGCCTAATGGGTTAGCTGTTCAATTATACATGCAAGTTTTAAAATCATGACTGAGAAGGAAGGTCATTCTTTTCAATTAGCAAAAGTATCAACCGACTCTTTCCTATTAGAGGCACTTGGACATCACCAGCTGAAATAGCAACCCAAACAGAAAGCAGAACTGAAAATAGCAGGATGCATATTCAACAAAGGAATTACCCATTTCCACTGCAACACTGAAGTACTTCATACTACACCTTTATTAAATAAAATTCAAACTACAGTAATTTATGTAGTATGATAATCCAAATAGTCTTTATCTAAGAAGTTATTAGATCATTGATTTTAAAGGCAGAAAATTATATTGCAGTAAAGTATTCTCCTTGGTGCATTACTTTTTTTCACCTACATTTTTCATCTCTGATCTTCTCATTCCTCCTCCACACTCATGAAGTTTTTTCTTTGCTACAAGTCTTCATTCTTTTAGAATCTGTCTTTCTTAAAATCCTGCTTACAGTTAAATATAAAAGAGTGCTATGATAGCTCTGTTATGTATCATTTACTTTAACAGCCTCAATGGACAACATTCTCTTAAACTATTAAGTGCTATCATCAAGTTAGTAAATGAAAGGCCTTTCATTTTATAACATTAAGAACATAATCTTTAATATCAAAAGTGCTTAAGAATATCCAGGGAAATAGCTTTTCCCTAACCATACAGACATGCTAGAAAGAAGATACCTACTGGCAAATACATATTTTTACAAGTGAACAAGTTTTACAAAGATGTGTTTTGAAAATAAAGTGTTTTTCATTCTTTGTTGTTGAGATTGCCAGATCTGTCAATCTTATTAGCACAAAAAGATTGTTCACCTGGCAGCTAATGCAGCAACTGATACACCAGGGATATATACTGTACATACTGCCATGGGACTACTCCTCCCTGTGCAAGAATTCACATCAGAATCAAAAGAAAAACCAATTACTTGATTATGAACTGAAGAATTGATATAATATTCCAAGTTCAGCAAAAACAGATTGCAGGCACGTGAGTCTCATTAATCTCTTACACCTATTCGGTCATGCAAAAAAAAAAAAAACAAACTAAAAATTCAAAGTCACAAAAAATTCTGCTTCTACTGCCAAAGAGTTTAAGCCTGGTTTTGGTGTATGATCACATACCAGGACTGAAAGCATGGCTCTACTCATCTCTTAAGCTAAGTGAAGATGGTATGGCACCTTAAAACAACAGGACTAAACTACAAAAGCAAGCACATTAAATTTAAACTTGAGGATTTTACATGCAGTGATTAGAAGACTTAGTTTTGAAATGTTAATGATCAAAAAAATCATATAGTACAAATTTATACCAACAATATTTTACAATATTAGAGTCTTTTGAATGTCAAAACTTTCTAAAAGAAGAAATGTAATTTTTTCTAATAATCTAAACAGAGTTTCATTTTAAAGCATATGAAATGTTTTCTTCAAATTCCATTAATTTAAAGCATTTTAATACTTGCACAATTGAGTATCTAGGAAGAAGGTTGTATGGAAGATGCATATTACCATACTTGACCAATGCTGACCTTTCTCCTTGCAGTTGCAGTGAAAATTTTCCTGGTGTCCCTTCCATGAAGTCTTCAGTTCCTGATCTGCTGGTATGCTCATTACAAATTAATTGTCTACTCTCATCATTAAATGATGTGTAAAACTTTTGTTCTGCTAAGCAGTTATTATTACTTCTGTCAAGATTATTCATCATCATAGCTGGCTCTTCAAAATCCAGCTTCACTTCATCTGAAATAGTCAAAGAGAACACATTTTGTTCAAGTGTTATAATTACTGCTTGTAGTGTTACATTATCAAAATTTGCTTGTATCAATATAAAAGGTGAGAAAGCTTAAGACTATTAAGAGAAGGTAGTCAATGTCTTCTTATGAACAGTATTTCTTAAAGTCTTTTGGGGTTTTGTTCAAAGTTTTAATATTTCTTCTTCTTTATTTCCCTTTTACAAATAGGTAGACTGTACCTTGAGAAAAAAGTGATTGTATTTCAGGAGCTGAATATTATGAAGGAACTCAGGAAAAAGATAGCTGTAGCTTTTGTGTACACACAATAAGAACCTCCACAAATAAAACCCCTCACATAAACATCTGCATAATCCCAAAAGGGGAGAAGAGACCAAGGCAGGTTACAATTACATTAGCCTCTCAACTTCTTCAATTAGTAACATCAACTTACTAAGGCTACATGAAGGGGTACATTATATAAAGAGATATTTATAGAATAAATACATAAAAATGAAGTAAAGTTTAGTACTTTTTATATAAGACTTACTTTGCAATAAGGTAAAATGTGAGATATTCAGTTTATCATGTAAAGCAACAATCCCGGACAATGCAAGAAATGTCATTAGTATAAAGGAGTCTTCTGAAATAAAGACACAGTCCCAGCACACTTCATTATGAGCCAACGTGCAGGAAGCCAAGATGCCATTTCCCATCTTCAAGAAAATGACTTTCAAACCCCACATTTGGTGACCTTTATAAAGTCTCCACTAATGAAACCCTAAACAACAAATACGATGTAGTTGAAGGCCTGTCAAGACACATCATTCCTTTTTATTACTCCTTTTATGCTTAATAATCCATCAGGGAATCTCCTTAGATGATGGCATCTCATTATCTCTTTAAGCATGTCAGCATTTAATGTTAATTTTACTCACTGAACACAACTTTCAGTAAAATTCCATTACTTGGAAACCTATAGGAAGAAGAGGCATCTGAGTAGCTTACAATTCACTTTCAGTAGTGCAAGCCAGCATCATTTTGGGAAATCACAGTTTCAAAAGTGCCTTAAACCCATTTAAATACTTCCAGAACTCACACTGAAAGGACATATTAAAGGTTCTTTAATGTATTAATAATTAATGTAATTACCAATATTAAAACCCATCATGACGTTATTTTTCTAGCAAATAATATATATCAAAACATTCTTACTCTGATGCAGAGGAACTGCTTTAGCAGAAAATAAATCTTTCTGAGAAGCTGTTCTAAATAAGCCTTTCCAAGCACTGCTGACTTTTCTAACCTCTGCAGCATCAGGAGGAGGTGTTGGAAGGAAAACAGAAGAAGCTCCATCTTTTTTTTCAGAAATTATTAGTGTTGGTTTCTGTGACAAAAATAAAGAAGACTTTTAAACAAAAGCACAGATAATTTAATTTTCATTTAAGTAAAAATAAAAAAAAAAAGAAACCCACATAATTTCTAATAAAGGGATAAGTTCAAAATAGAACAGAAGTTACATTGGCTAGCTCATTAAGAAATTTTCATATCCTGAACCTAATGATATCATTCCACTGAACAAACCAGATGTCTATACCATTATCACCACAGAAAGCCATTTAAAAGCCAACATTCAGGGGTGCAGAAAACAAGAACTAGCTTGAGTAGAACAACTCAGAATTATTTATTCCTCATAAATACTCATTTAACTACATCTGCAGCAAGCTTATTTATCAAATAAAATATTGTGCCAATGAATATTGCTAACAATTCTAGAGATACATCTATTCTTCTATTTGCTTTTGAGCATTCAAACAGTATTTCCAAAACACTCCAAATATGTTCACATCATATGTACTGCTTTCTATCACACTGAGACAAATCATGCAGATCCAAAAACATGAAAGTCTTAGTTTTATGTCAGTATCTTGCCTCTCAAGATGAGGTGAATAACACCCTGAATCTCTGGTACCAAGCACTTGCTGTGCCCTTGCCCTATATAAAAGCACTGACCTCTAAAATCAATACCAATTCCCTTAAAATAAAGAATCCACTAGAAAGTCTCCAGCCAATCCTTCAGAGCTCTCCACAGTATTAAGAAGCCAACAGGTGAGACTGACTACACACAACCACAATGATTAATACAAGCTCTTAATTTACATTGTACTAACTTATATCCATTGAAAAAGCAAAAAAAGCAGGTTTTGCATTGGTCAGTAGTTTTCTCTAATTTTTTTTTCGACTCATGCACGAAGTAAATTAAAATTTAACACCAGTTCTTCAATCCAAATGTAGATATACTTAATCTAAACAGAAGTACGCTCAGAAATTTTAAACTTGATTTATATAAATACATTACCTTATCCAAAAAACTGTAGTATAAAATTGCTTGGATATTCCCCTAACTTCCTAAAGAATACTTTCCTAAAGGTTACTGTCTGGAAAAAGCAATGTATACAGCAAGCATATTTAGTTGCTATAGCATGCTCTGTTATCTCAGGCACTAAACAAATGGTTGTGACTTAATCTTGTATTTGAAGACCAAATATAAAAAATCTGTGAAAGAGCAGATATACTTATAAATTGAAAGCAATTCACAGCAATTCACAAAGAGAGAAAACAGGTTCTTAAAGGACCTCTATCTGTTTTGAAATGAACTACAATCATGACATTTTATAGAAATGTAAGCCAAATAGAAAGCAACCACCTAGTTACCTTCAAATTACTGAGCACAAAACGACAGAATAGATGAGGCTGGAACGGACCTCTGGAGGTCCACGCCCCATATTCAACTACAGCCACCTGAACTCAGTTACCCAGGACCATGGCCAAGAAGCTTTTGAAGATCTCTGGGCAACCTGTGCCAAGGCCTGGTCACCCTCCCATATGGAAAACTGCTTCCTGAAGTTCAGAGGAAACCTCCTGCATCCCAGTTTGAGCCCTCTGTCTCTGGTCCAGTCACTACAAAGAGGCTGGCCCCATCCTCTTTGCACCCACCTTTCAGGTATTTACATCCATGAATAAAATCCTCCCTTGGTCTTCTCCAGGCTCAATTCCCATTTCTCCCTGTCCCTTCATCATCTTTGGGGCTGTTCATCAGATTCTCTCCAGTAGCTCCATGTCTTTCTTGTACTGTGGAGCCCAGAACTGCATAAACCACTCCAGGCATGGCCTTACCAGTGTTGAGAAGAGGGGAACCTGCTGGCAGCACTCCTCCTAATGCAGTCCCAGATACCATCAGCCACTTTCTCAACAGCAAGGGCACATTGTTGGCACATGTTCATGCTCATGAACTACATCTAATTTAGTAAATTTACACAAGAAAGCTGACTCAAGTATCCGTCTTCTGATTCTTGTTAACGTCACTTTGAATCATAAAGCAATACAGCAATATTTAAGTAGTTTAAATTATTTTCAGGTTTCTCTTGTGGAAAAGAATGACAAAACTGACTTTATAGTCAGACTAATGTTAAAACAAGTCTCCATTTTCCCAAATGTCTTTAAACCATTTCTTTTCCTAACACTATCAAGACACATATTTTTATATCAGTACCGCATAAGTTATTTCCAGAGTACTTACATCAGCCAGTGGGCTTAGACAAACACCAGAAGGCGGCCTTGATTCAGACAAATCAGAACTGGATGTATCAAGACTAACAAAGAAATGAAACATAGTTAGAATAATGCAGACTCAGAGTTGTGTGATCAGCTGGTTTTTTTAATTGCCTGCTTCTTCCCTTTGACAGTGAATATGGGGAAAGGGAAGAATGGAAAAGTGAGAACATTTCATGCTAACAAAACTCCACCTAGAAATAATTTTGAGGCAGTAAAAACTTTGAAAATGAGCATTTCAAACTGCAGGACCTAAAATTTTACATTTAAAAGATCTCAAAAGGCTCTGAAAAAAGATCTAGATTATAGGAAAGAAGCAAGCTTTCACATGTTCTAGGGAAAATGCTGAAGACTATCTCAATTAAAAGCATTCAATTGTCTCAAGAAAAGGTAAGTAACAGGCTATTTTCTTATATTATTTTCCACATAGAAAACTGGTGTAATGACTGCCTCTGGTAGCTCTAATCCACAGGAACTTCCTGGGCATGTAGATTAACACCAACAATAAAGACCATTAGAAGGCAAAGGATGTGATTAGGTATACAGATCAACACAGGGAAAATAATCACCGGAAGCATAATTAGAGAATCAAATCTCTTGCTGCTAAAAGATATTTGAAAAAAAATCTTAAAGCCACAGTACCTTAAAACTGAAGAGGGTCTATTTTGAGGACATAGTGAGGACTGAGACCCAAAAAATTTCCTTTGTTCATCTGTAGGTGTGAATAGCCTTTGAGTTTTTACTGTTCGTAGAACATCTCTGGCTTCATTTACAATCTCAGAACTGGTCTTAGGCTTTGCCACTGACAGCCAGTAGAATGGTTCTGCTTTTCTTCTATTTTCAGTCATTGAAGCTTGCATTCCTATGCAAAGTACTGCACAGAAAGAACAGTGAAAAATATATGTGAAAGGCACAAAGTATTATGCTAGTTTTAAATTACAAACTATTAATTCATCACTGGTTATACTACCACAACATAGTTTAAAAGGGTAAGTAAATCTTAATGCTGAAATAGTGGGAAACAAGGTACACTGATATTGCATTTCCTCTCTTCCTCAGTTCTGTAGGAAAATACTCAAAAACAGAAAACATCTACCATGCAAGATCTACCTTCAGTTTTTTTACAGGAAGCTAAAACACATCACCATGCTTAATGGGCCAAATGTAGTCCTCTACAGTTCCATAGAAAATCTGTTTCTTGACACCTGCTTACTTAGGAAACACCACAGCCAAAACAGGAATTCAATAATATGCTGCAAAGAGACAGGTTTTTCCAACTTAGGAAAAACCTGATATATATCATCAACCTCACCATGGGAAGCTTCCTAATATGTCAGAGGCATCATTATCAGTAACTGAAGCACAGCTATCTGCAATTGATAATCAGAGACAAGGAAGAACAAGTAATCCCCTTTTTCTGGTAGAAATGACTTCCCAATCCACCTCCAAGCACAGGCAAAGAAAGATAATGCTAATATAAGTTATAAACCCAAACTTCCAATCAGCGTTCTGTCCTGCTGTAATACCTGGGAAATGCACTGGGCAGTGACAGACTTGCTCCATCACCCCCTGGACCCACACCCCATCACTATCATGATGCAGTCCTCTGTAGATATTATCCTTGTCATTTTACAGCAAACTCATCATGAGTCTTACACCATGCAAAATTTCTCTTCTGCTTTCAAACTTACCTAAAAACAAAAATATGTTTCTGCACTGTGACTCAGACCATCTGGTAACTTCTATTCTCTCACACTTTTTATGACAATGAATTGACAGTAGCTCAGACACTATCATCTGGGTTATTTCTACACTATGGAGTAAAAAAAAATCTTATATCCTTAGTTTCTTAGTTCAATTCTTTCTGTTCTGCAGTTTAACTTTTCCAGCTGCTTCTCCTTTCTTTGAGAGCCTACACATTCTGGCACAGTATCTTTTGTTCTTGCACACCCAATATATAATTGGACGCTAAGGAGAAGTGCACCAACCTCTTTCATTTCATGATGCATAATTAAAAATCCTCAGGAACAGATCAGGAGCCTGAGACTATCAGTGTTTCTAATATTTCCAACTACCATTAATATATTACTTACCTTCAGTGTGACTGAATTTTGTTGTCTATGCTTCTTACTCTTCCCTCTATTACAATGAGATTAAAAAAAAAAAGTAAGGCGTTCCACTGCATCTGTCTGTTTGGAAAAAAATTATACAGTCAGTCTTCACTGAAAAAAGAAAGGCAGACTATCATTCCCTATTCCCCCAGCTACTGGGAGCCAGAATTTTGACCTTAAGTGGAAGGTCTTCTCCGTAGGCCTTATGTGTGATACAGCTGGGAATGGTCCTGTGCAGGGACGGGAGCTGGACTTCATGATCCTTCTGAGTCCCTTACAACCCAGCATATTCTGTGATTCTGTAATTCTGCTCCCCAGTCCCAGCAGGAAACAGAGTGAGGGAATGCTGCATTGTCAATGGGGATAGCATAACTGGTACACACAGATCTTGTCCCTCACTACTGTCACCATTTCCCAGGTAGCCTTTAACTTGCACAAGTGAAGAGCTCGTCTCTGACTCTCTGCTGGAAAGTAGAAGAGCATCACAGCAGTGTCTAAAAAGCCATACTGGGCTCTTGTCTTTATTCCCCAGTTGTTTACTCCAGAAGTCTGGTATTTGTTTTACAAGAAGATTTTAAAGCACTAGATATCAGTAGAGGATCCACACATTAGTCCCAGCAACGTCCAGAAGTGAGACAGCTGTACCCTCACAGCTCTTAGCTCATTTCAATCAAGATGACAGAAGCATGGCTGACTACATCAAATATGGCACCACACTGGCTCTGCCATCCTCCTCCCCATCTCAAGACTGGTGTCATTTAATTGCTAGGGTGCAGAGCGGGTGTATTTGCAATCAGTAAATATAGTGGGGAGAAGCCCTATACTCAAGCTGGGAACACTCTGCTCTCTGACATCCAAATCCATGTTCTGTCTGCCCTAGCAAATCTCTAGAATAGCTAGCACACAAGTTCAGGTTTAGTAAGAATCCCAGAATCATCGAGGTTGGAAGAGACCTTTAAGACAATCTAGTCCAACTTTGCACTGCTCCTGTAACCCCTAAACAACATCAACCAGTGTCAGATCCAGACACCTCCTAAACATGCCCAAAGTTGGTGACTCCATCACCTTCCAGGCCAACCTATTCCAGGGCATGGCCACGCTCAGAGTGAATTTTGTTCATCTAATATCCAATCTGCATCTCCCCTGTCTCACTTTTAGGCCATTTACTCTTGTCCTTTCACGGCAGGCACGGTAGAAGAGATGGGCCCCCACCTCACAACAACCTCCTTTTCAGGAATATACAAATAATAGCTATTAACAAACATAATTCTGAACACCAGCGACTTACCAATCACAACTGATGTACTTTCACCCTGGTGAAATTTTGACGCAGAGAAATCGCTATCAAAGAGAAACAAGAACGAAGTTACGAGAGGTGAGTTCTCAGCGGAGTTAGGTTTCCAGAGCAGCCATGGGACAACACGTCCGAGAGGAACCCCCCAAATAAGCAGCACCTGTGGAGTAAAGGCTATTCCCAACCCACACCCAGGAATCAAGCCTCTCTCCCGAGCACGGAAAGCTGCCGGGAGACGCCACAGGGATTATCAGTCTCCGGCCGCTTTCCAAAACCTCCCGCCAGATTTACCGCACAGTCCGGCCCTTCGCCCCGCCTGGCCAGGCGGCACCCCCAGGGACGAGCACTACGGCCGGGGGTGACACCGGGTGCTGCCCGGAGGACTCGGTCGGGACCCGGCACCGCCTGCACAGGGCCCAGCCTCGCTCAGCCGCCCGCCGTTCCCATGGCAACCGGGCGCACCGCGCCGCCGGGCCGGGAGCGGGGCCGGGCCGGGAGCGGGGCCGCGCCCCCCGCGCTGCCGCAGCCGCGCCCGCGGGGCCGCCCGGGCATCCCCAGGCGCACGCGCGAGCACCTGCGGGCGCCTGCGCGGCGCGGCCGCTGCCTGGTCGGGATGGTGTCGCGAAATCCCGGGAACGGCGTCCCCACATCGCAGGGCCAATGCGGGCTCCTGCCACAGCGCTGGCCCGCAGCATGGTGGGCTTCTGGTGGAGAGCTCTCCCCCGTGGCCAGTCTCCCCGCCCACGTTTAGGGAAGGTGTGGTGGCGGCTGGCACAAGCCCTGGGCGCAGCTGGCAGAAGTTACTCGATGTGTTACTGCCTATTTAGGCACCCTAAACAGACACAGGGCCCGGTTTAGAGAGGAGATGTTTTTTGTTCTGTGCGGGGTGCAAGGTGGAAGTATTACACAAACCAGGCACTCAGATTCTCAAAAATTTAGAATCGATTAGCTTGGAGAAGACTTCTGAGATCATCGAGTCCAGCCTATGACTGAACACCGCCATGTCAACTAGACCACGGCACGAAGTGCCACATCTCCTTAAACACCTCCAAGGGGCAGTGACTCTACCACTGTTATGGGCAATCCATTTCAATTACACTAAATACACATTAGCAAACAGAGAAATCACAATTCATTGGCGAGTTCTCCTGTTAATTAGATTTTATCTTCTCTTGGTTTAATGATTCTCTTGCTTCTCATGCTAATTAGTCCTCATGCTCGATATTTCTGTTCTTTTGAGTTGATGGGTTTCTTGAGTTGGTGGTCAGTGGTGGTTGAGTCTCCACGGTGGAATCGAGATGCTGTGAATTGGGGCTGGTTCCTTGCATTATAAAGGGTGTGGGAGCTGTGGCCAGACAGGTGACAAAAGACAGGTGACACAGCAGCAGCTAAACACTCACAGGATGACCCCAGAGTATTGGATAAAAGCCCCGGTGATCGTTTTGTTCCGGGTCAGTCCTTAAAAGTTATGATCCCTGTTTCACTGGTAAGGCAAGACTGTTTCCCAGTGTCCTTCTCATTCTCTGTAACTCGCTGGGCAAATTGTTGGCTACTTCTGACTCTTTGGGTGTCAGCATCATTGTAATACTTTCTCACTGAGTTTGGATTTACAAGTTCAAAATGGAGACATTGAAAGTTTTCCAGAGTAAAAAAACAAGGTCTGAGACATGGTGTAGCAGCAGCCACAAACTCCTGTCCTGTGCCTGGGTCACTCTGGTCAGGCAGTGAAGGTCAGATTGCTCATGTTAGTGGTTCCCTGGCAGGGCAGAAGTGCTGTCATATTTCCCACTTGCCTCCTGTTCTCTGGAAGGCTGAAAGATGCACATTTTAACATTGGCTGTAGCAGAGCTTCACACACATGGGTCCCCAGGCCAGATGGCTTTGTTGGAGTGGAACAAAGGGGTCACTTGCAGTGACTTTCCCTGGCTGCCTCCTGGCACAGTCCCACCAAAAATGCATCCATCTCCAGGTTTCAGGATGCCATTGGCCAAGTGAACCAGAGACTCCCTGAACAGTTCCCTCGCGTGCCTCCTGCTATTGCAATGAGTAATGTGATCACAGCCTGTATCAGAAAATCTCCAGACATGTAACAACAACAAAGACAGGCCTTTTGTGGCAAGTGGGTTGTTTGTGACTGACTTTGTTCGCTATCTCTGAATGCATTTTGAAATTTATCTAAGAACTACTGTAGGAGGGTAGTTGTTACCTCTGTAAATAATAGAAAAACACAACAAATACAGGTCCATCTGACCAAGCTTCTTCCTTTGTTCCTTTATTATATACGTCAGATATATCTGAAAGCACTCCCCGAAAAAATTTATCTTGTATACATATTTGTATGTAAGTATATGTATATCTCTTACTACCTTGAAGTTCCTTTTACTAATTGCTTGCTAACGTAACTTTTACTTTTTCGTGTGTGCTAGACAAGAACCCTGTGGATATTTCAAATTTAATTTCTCTTTCTGATTTTTATTATAGGCTTTATTATGCCCTTCTCTTCTAGAAAAATACCCTCTTCTAGTTCCTTTTTTGATTCTGACAGGCATTATGATAGCTGCAAAAAGATCTGTGTGTAACGCTACCTGGTTTACATAACACATGCCATTATCTCTGCTAGCTTCTACTTTATCTCTAATTATTAGGCATCTAGTCCTCTTTCTTTGGCAGCCAAGTTCAATACCTCAGAAGTAATGAAAACCTTGTTATTATTGTACCTTCTTTTCTCTGTATATTCTTCTTTAAAAGCCAAAAGAATGTGTGTGTGCGCATGCATGTATGCTATTTTCAGATCATTCACAGCTCATTTTGTGTTACTTTCTTCTGAACCTTTCTTTTATTGAAATAATACAAGGGAGGCTTCAAGAAAAATGTGTAGATCTGTTTCCTGGTAAAGCCAGTTTGAATTTCTTTTTACTGTTATCATTCTTTAAACAATTTTTAAATCCACCCAGTTAAACCCACTAAGCCTCCTTTCTTGGCTTCTTCTTTAATCCTTTTCATATGCACATTATTTCTTCTCTCTATTTTCTAGGTCATCAAATTGAAGAGTTAAATTTTATTCATTTTCTGAGCTTTGGCAATTATAGCAAATATTTCTTTTGTGATCTCTCTGCTCAACTGTTACAACTTTCTCACTTAAATCCTTTATATCCTGTGACTTTTATTGAGGGAACTCTCTCAGCACCTCTTTTAAATGCAGGTACATAATTAAATCTTGTTTGCAGTAACAGTGCTTTAGGATGGAAATATCATCAAAACCTATAAATTGACTTGGTCTAGGTAAGCTAGTATTTGCTGAAGTGATTGCTAAGGTAAAAGCAATGTGTTCTGAACATTTCTGCCCAACTAAGGGAAAATACAAAGTATTCAATTATGCCATATTCATTCAAATTACTTTTTTTTTTTTTTATTTGAAAATCATGAAAGGGATTTTGTGCTGGTATCCATTCCCAGGTTTTGGTCTGGCTAACTTAAATCTGTCTAGAGATGAAACTTACCTGAATATCCAAACATAGCAGGCCTATATTTCAGTCCAATTCAGAATTAGTTAACAATGTTAAGTACTTTGCCTGATGAGTGTTCATTAACCACATTTGCTGCTTCTAGTTGCTTACCTATAAAAGCAGCCTCCAGTGCAATTTGAGCAACACAAGTGGCAGTACAGCCCCCATTTATCCATATTTCTTTCCTCTTTTTCAAAATAAAACAGTTCGATCCCCAATCTTGACTAAAATCTTCCTGTGATATTCAACCTTGCATAAACCATCTGGTATGTGCCATTAAATAAGCTCAATGTTTTGTGTCACTTGTAGATTATTACAAAGGCACGTGGAGCTGTTCATTTTATAGCAATTAGAAGCAACTCCTCTACCAAGTGGCCTAATAAGTTTTAATAAAGCAAGTTTATGAAAATCTCCATTACATGCAGCAGGGAAATCTGTCACAGGAAAGAATGCTGGGTATAGGATGAGATGACTAGTTGGTGGATAAAGGGAGAGCAGTGTATGCTGTTAAGTAAGGCTTTTGACTGTCTCCCATTACACCCTCACAGACAAACTGATGAAGCATGTACTATTAGGATGGATATGGAGCAGCAGTGAAATCTGGCAGAACTGCAGAGCTCAAAGGGTTGAGGTTGGCTGCATAAAATGCAGCTGGGAACCACTCATCCTCAGGGTGCACCCTCAGCAAGTTTACAGATGATGTAAAACTGGGTGGAGTGACTGTACATCAGATGGTTGTGCTGCCATTCAGAGGGACCTGAACAGGTTGGAGAACTGGGCCAAGAGGGATCTCAAGAAGCACAACAAAAGGAAATGTGAAGTCCTGCACCTCGAGAGGAATAACCCCATGCACCAGTACATGCTGGGGGCCAACTGGCTGGAAATGAGCTTGGCAGAAAAAGACCTGGGGATGCCAGCTGACATAAGTTGAACCAGCAATGTGCCCTTGCTGCAGAGGTGGCCAACAGCCTCTTGGGCTGCATTAGGAAAAGCACTGCCAGGAGGTAGACAAGAGTGATCCTTTCCTTCTGCACAGCACCAGTGAGGCCACAACTGCGGTGCTGGGTCCAGTCATGGTGTCCCCAGGACAACAGGGACATACTGGAGTCTAGAGAAGGGCCACTAAGATGACTAAGGGATTAAAGCATCTTTAGTATGAGGAAAGGCTGAGAGAGCTGTGACTGTTCAGCCTGGAGAAGAGAAGGCTCTGGTGGGAAATTATCCATGTGTTTCTGAAGGAAGGGTACAAAGAAGATGGGGACGTGCTTCTTAGTGTTGCCCGGTGAAAGAACAAGAGAAAGAAGACACAAATTGAAATACAGGAAACTCCATTTAATTGTAAAACCAAATTTCTGTGATGAGACTGGTCATCTCTAAATATCTCAAAAACTAAAACAGGTTGTTCATAGAGCTTGTATGGTCTCCATCTTCAGCAATATTAAAAACTTGATTTAAAAAGCCCCTGAACACCTTTCTGTAGTTAATTGCTTTGAACAAGAGGTTGGACAAGATGATCTCCAGAGGCTTTTTCAAACCTTAAATATTCTGTGATAATATGTACATTTTTAAAAATTTCTTAAAATCTTACTCTTACTTACTTTCTTGGCTGAAATTTTAGATTTTGGGAATTGCCATGATCATTCTCTAGCTTGCAGTGCTTGACCACTGCATCCTGCAAACTCTGCCCCTTATCCTCTCTCTGACCAGCAATTGATTCTCTCCATGCTCAGTGCTCAACCCTCTAGACAAAAGCTGAGATTTTCCAGTGAAATTACGCCAGTTTCTCAAGTGAAATACCTTTGGTTGCACCCATATTTGTGCTGACAAACAGCATGCAAAGACTTCTTGTACCAACTAA